AAAGGGAGACAGCAACGAAGGAAGTCAGAGTCACCTAATTATTTAGATTAATTCAGAAACCTGTTTTTTAATGTAACCATAACCGGTAGATTATCGTTGCTCAAACTAAAGAGCAGAGCTGCACTTACTTTATTTCTTATCAGAATATACAAAAAACGTTTTGTGTAAACCACCTTTATCATAATGAAAAATCGCAGGTCTTTTCCAAACATCTCCTAGGAAGCCTATTTCGAAAAACTCGTCTGAAAACGATATTGGTTATGAAAACATGCATCAAAGTCTCTTCTTTCGAATGGCGAAAATCGCAGGTCTTCATCTTGTTCGTATCAAAAGTTATTCAAAAAACAACCGAGTGCCTTGACTTCTGCAAAGGATAATAGTTTAAAGTCGAATCATTACATACGTATTTCTTCCAATGGTCAATATAAGTTAGCTAGTAAAGTGTGAGTGAATGATTTAGTTTATTTGCGCCACTACAATTATTTTCCTGTTAAAATTAATCAATAATTAAATTATATAAACAAGGTATTTATGCATCCGTGACATTAAGTGGTCATCTGATAGTAAATGGAATATTAGCATCATGTTATGTTCATACACAATTTCAAAGAACACATCTTATGCATACTATACTCTTACCGCATTGTTTATGGTATCATCTATCTAAATATAGAAGAGGATTTTAGCATTGCTGCGGTTTCAAGAAGCAAAAAATCAAGAAGACAGGAATAGTGATAATAAGATTCGAAATATATCACTTTTATAGCTGATCTTACATGTATCGTATTTCCAGTACACTCTCTTTACCTTTTTCTTTTTTTATTTAATTATTGGTTCGGATGCTAGGATGAGTTTAAAGTTCTCTTTCTATATTTTGAGTAGCTGTAGCTTTTTTTAAAATTGCAATTAAAATTAGAAAAACTAAGGCATTTCTCGTCTTTTATCAGACTTACAATCATCATAGTATAAGCAAGCAGGGTGTCTCGATGTGAAAATAGAAAGCGAACTTCTTCACAGGTCTGTGTCACACCATTTTTTATCAAGTATATGCGTAGAACGTATAATTTGTCTAAAACCATTTCGGCATGTGGGTTCTATCAAAAAAGTTGCAGAATTTGTTGTCGTGACCTCCTCACACGAGGGAACTTAGTAACTTTAGAAGCCATGGAAACTCAGTTAAAGGAAATTCTACTTTTCCATGTGACTCTTCAGTATGTCGCTGATATCCGTAACTTTTTCAGTTCTTAATGACAAAAGCTATAAAATCCTCGATTCTTCGAAGCTAATAAAACCTCATGCACTGCCATTCCATTTCGACTGTCCCACATCTGAAACTCAAATTCTCAACGAAACCTCCGAAAACTGTGAACTCTTTTCTGTAGTTTCTTTTGTACATTATTCATAATTTTTCTCAGAAAGAAAAACATGGAAAAACGTTGTAATTCAAAGCAAATTGTATTTGGATCAATTTGTTATAGTCTATGTTTTATTATGACTATTATTAGTTATATAATGTCAAAACAATTAAAACAACAACACATTAGCACATTAGATTTATTTACATGGGTAATGGTTCTTTTATCATATTTAACTAATTTTTTAATTTCTCCATATATGTTAAAAGATCCAAAACATCCAAAATATACACGGCTCAAATACTTAAATCGACTTTTGAAATTTCATGCATTTACTGGACTTCTAACTATTCAACTTGGTATTATAACATTATTCTATCGGTCAATACTATTTGGTTATCTATTTGCATTACTTGTACTTTTTACACATATACCATCAGTTATATTGTTAACACCATATGCTGGTGGTTTTAAACGTATGATTATTTCTGGATATAATTGTCTCATTCTTTTTGGAACATTCTTTCAAGTATTACAAATT